TTTTTTTTTTTAAACAGGGTGCAACTTAAAATTTCCTTTGCATATCAAGGTGTATGCAAAACATTGATGCAGTGCATCACAAAATGAAAGTTTGTATTTAATGAGGAGGTGCTTTACACTGTACTTTTTGGTGTTTTTTGGAAAAGTTACATTTAGATCTATTCTGAAACTGTTCATTTTTAACAAATAAAATGTTACAGGTTTCACATGATTTATTCTTAGCTGTAAAGATTGAGTTGCGATTTTTAGAGCGTTGTGTTTTACAGAAAATTTTGTAGTGATTCTTTATAATTTTTAGAATTTGAAAAGTTAACCTCCCAAACTTTTGGTAATTGCTACATCAATCTAGATTCTGCTGTTTGCATCCCTCTAGCTGCCTTTGACCATTTTCTCTTGAGCTCCAACAGGAAGTAACCATGAAGAATTTAAAAAGAGAATCAGATTTACTCAAAGTGCTGAATATTAGGCTAAATGACCCTTTAGAGATCATTTTAACTTATTTTATATTTTAGTAAAGTGAGAATATTTTCAAGACGTGAAGAGTTATTTTTTGAGATCAGATCTAATTCTTTTTTTTTTTTTTTTGAAAGATTTTTGCTATAAGGGTGCGTGCGCTCACCAGAAAGACAGAGACAGACAGACAGAAAGCGAGAAGTCACCCCCCTCCCCCAGGGGGGATGGCCACGCCGCAATCCCTTCTCTTCCATTCTCTCAGGATCTTTGGCTCTCACGCACGCACACACTCCCAGCATGAGTTCAAACTACCAGGTCCAGGACTTGAACCGCGGTCAACTACATGAGAGTCCAGCGACATAGCCATTAGGCTAACTGCTGGTCCCAGATCTGATTCTTAGTTGATGATAAAACTTCTATGAGTTGGACACTCATAGCAAGTGGTAGAATGATGTGTGGCTTGTCAGTTAAGTAAGAATTGATAATAACCATGCTCTAGCATTTATAAGTAAATGTACTTAAGTGAATCTATTTTACCAGTGATTGTGATACTTCATTATTTTGGTATATAAGTTAGGTAGCCCTATTTTAAAAAGCCAGATGGTGGTATGGTGATTAAGCAGCTGGATTCCACGTGCCCTACTGCATAGTTCCAATCTAAGACCTGGCTTCTTGAAAAATATGCCAGATATGTGTGCGTTTGTGTCCAAAATCCCAAAAGGAAAAATGGAAGAGAAGGGATTGTGGCATGATCATTCTCAGTGCTTTTTCACTTTCCCTCTCTGTCGTCTTTGGCAAGCATGCACACCTCGCTAGCAGGTTTAAAAAAAAAAAGCATTATACTAGTCATATTTTTTGTGCAAGCATAAACTTCTCAACCACGATTTTAATTTTATAAGCAAATTATAGAATACTTCTATGTATGAAGAAAATAAAGCTTCATTGCCCAATAGTTTTTATTTATTTATTTTAAAAAAGGTTTTTGCTGTAAGGTGCGTGGCTCCTCAGAAAGACAGAGACAGAAAGTGAGAAATCATTCCCTAAGGGGGATGGCCATGCTGCAATTCTTTCTCCTCCACTCTCCTCTTGGGATTCTGGGCATGCATGCATACATGCCCAGTGTGAGTTTAATCCCCCTGGTCCAGGACTTGAACCATGGTTGACTGCATTGGAGTCCAGTGGTGTAATCATTACACCATCTGCTGGTCTTGCCCAGTAGTTTATGTTGGAAATTCTATGTCATAAAAAGCTTGATAGAACAAATGCGATGCCATTGTGGAAACTAAAATAATTTCTTCTGAGTATATTCAGTCAAGTTACACCATCTTACAGATGAATAGGAAGCTATTTCCTTCGGGTATGTGTATTTAATTTCTTAAATACACATTTTCTTCTGAGAAGAAAAACACTGAATTTTCTTGTTTTGTATAAAATTTTTAAAAATCAGTTATTAGTGCTTATGAAAGGAATAAAGGAAGACCCAAACATTTACTGAATATATTCAAGTCAGTCTCTGTGCTTTACATCAAAAATCGGAAGAGAATGATTTGCCAAGATTCTTATCCTACTGCTTTGCATTTATAAAAAATACTTTTTTTGTGAAGTTCAGTTTATTTTCTTCATGAGAAACAGACACCCTTGACAGGATTTCAGCCCTCCAGTCAGTCAAGATTTTGGGTGCATGTGTCACCTTATTTTAGGTTGACCTGGATCTGAATCAAGACCTTGCAGTTGGCTTTTTTTTTTTTTTTTAAGAGGTTTTTCACTACAGGGCGCGTGCGCTCACCAGACAGAGACATAGAGACAGAAAGCGAGAAATCACCCCCCAGGGGGGATGGTCACGCCGCAATCCCTTCTCCTCCATTCTCCTCTCGGGATCTTGGGCACGCACGCACATACGCCCAGCGTGAGTCTTAAGCCACCGGGTCTGGGACACGAACCGCGGTCAACTACGTGGGAGTCCAGCGACATAGCCATTACACTAACTGCTGGTTCCCGCAGTTGGCTTTTGATTCTAGCACTGTAGATCAGAATGCTGAGGTCCATGTCACAGAGGCTAGGTGGGCCAAAAGTAGAATCTTAAAGGAATGGCCGTAATATATTTCTAGTGAGTAGAAGGGAGGTGGGGTAGAAAATTATTTTTCTATATGATGTAGTGAGATGTAGAACTGGAAAGAGCTAATGGGATTTGAGTGAAATTTTTTGGTGTAGGGTATTGAATGAGTTAACTTTCAGCCTTTAAAATAAACAGGAAGAAATGAGGAAGTTCACTGTGTCAGTTCCTAACACTAAATAACCCCTACTGCCTATTTTTCAGCTTTTGCTCACAGGCCAAGGAGCAGATCCTTATAGCCCTTTTGCTCACAGCCTTTTTTGCAACTGTCTTTTATCACTTACTTTATTCATCACTAGACCCTGCTAAACTCCCCACAAAGATTCCATTTTCTGTGTCTCATTCACATCAGCTGATGTCACTTTATGGAGACTGAGAGTAAGGTGAGAATTCCCTTGTATTCTACTTTTACATTGTCATTGAAATTTCAAATCCTTAAAAGTCTGAAAATTAAATTCTTGCTCTTCATTCCCATCCATTCTTTACTTAAGACTTATTCCCACATAATAGCATACATAGATCTTCATTTTCCCACCTATCCATAGGCCTTACTTTTGGCCTTCAAATATTTACAGACTTAGGTATCCTGTTTTATTTTTAAAATCAGTTTTTTTCTCCCCTACCACTACATACAACCTGTGTTAGTACATAACCTATCTACTGTGTTGTATAACTGCTGCTTTCCACTAATCCTTACTATTTTTAAGCTATTAATATGCTCAGCCTTGGGATACAGAAGCTAATTATAGCATAGAGTTTCATATGTTAAGGAACTTAAAATCTATAGTTGAGTAGACAAGCTAATATCAATATAAGCTTGGTCAGTTCCAAATTAGCATGGTAGGTTGTGATTACAATGGGATGTACATGAAGATAGGACAAGTTGAGGCCCTATTACTGAGGACTTTTTAAAAGTATCTGTGGGGACCAGCAGTTGGTATAATGGCTGTGTCGCTGGACTCCCATGTAGTTGACTGCAGTTCGATTCCTGGTCCCGGTGGCTTAAACTCACACCAGGTGCGGGTGTGCGTGTGCCCAAGATCCCTAGAGGAGAATGGAGGAGAAAGGATTGCGTCGTGGCCATCCCCCCGGGGGGTAATTTCTCGCTTTCTGTCTTTTTCTGGCGAGCACACACACCCTATAGCAAAAACCTCCCCCCCCCAAAAAATAAAAAAAGAATTTGTGTAACTGTGGAAGGGAATAGACTCCCATGTAGTTGACTGCAGTTCGATTCCTGGTCCCGGTGGCTTAAACTCACACCAGGTGCGGGTGTGCGTGTGCCCAAGATCCCTAGAGGAGAATGGAGGAGAAAGGATTGCGTCGTGGCCATCCCCCCGGGGGGTAATTTCTCGCTTTCTGTCTTTTTCTGGCGAGCACACACACCCTATAGCAAAAACCTCCCCCCCCCCAAAAAATAAAAAAAGAATTTGTGTAACTGTGGAAGGTAATAGGTAATCAAATTTGATGGTGAATTTTAGAAAGATAGCTGATAACTTATTTTATAGCATTTTAGTGTCAATATGGAATATGTGCATAGGCTGAGTCGTAGTTAAAATCTTTAAAAATAATAAAATTTAATCTCTAAAACTTCCTAAAAAAATAAAAACATAAAAGAGGACCTGATCTTTTGCTGAATATCCTAAGGACAAAATTTTTGGTCAACAGATGGTGCGGAGGTTGGGGCAGCTGGATCCCAAATGGTCAAGTGAGTGGTTCAAGTCCCATACCAAGTGACGTGAGAAACGTGTTGGACATGTGTGTGTCCCCCAAAATCCTGGGAAGAGAATGGAGGACGAGGGATTGCAGGGTGACCACCCCCCTGGGGATTCATTTCCCACTTTTCCTCTATCCTGGTTTGTCTCTGGGAAATGCACACACTAACAAAAAGCAAAAAAAAAAAAAAAAAAAAAAAAGTACAGAACATTTTTTTAAGAGGTTTTTGCAATAAAGCATATGTGATTGCCAGATTGAGAAAATGAGAAATCACCTCCCAGGGGAGATGGCCACATGACAGTCCCTTCTCTCAGGATCTTGGGCACAAATGCACACGTGCCTGGTATAAGTTTGAAGCTGCCAGGTCTGGGATTTGAACTGCGCTCGACTATATGGGAGTCCAGCGATGTAACCATTATACCATCTGTTACTCCCCAGAACAAATTTTAGGAAGACTAGAATATCATAAACCAATAAATTGTATAAGTGTTATTTGCCAGGGGTGACAAATATATCACCTGCCATTGTGGTGACCCATGCTCATAACAGACATTGATGATTTTTCATGGAATTTATTGTTGAAGAAACTAAAATGTAATATTAATAGTTCATGAACAATTCCCTGGGCAGCTATTATTGTAATAACTAACTTTGGCACTGCAATTAAATATTTACAGCCTGAATTGAGGAATTCAGGGAAGAGCTAATCAAGATTTTATTAGAGAGATCGTCCTTAAAAGATGGTAGACTCTCCAACCTCATTTTCTTTTGCTTTCTCAACATGAACTTGCTTGTCATCTGTCACCCTTAATATCTTTCATATGTACCATTCTTTATTATACCAGGATGTGTTTCTGCTGATCCTCTTTCCACTCTTGAGTATTGCTCTCACCTTGAAATCTGTCTCATAATTCAAAACTTCATTGATCCAAGACATATTTCTTCTACCTGAACTCTGGAAAATAACTTAACACTACTGTTCATCTTTTTGTTTTGTTTTGTTTTCTTATTTTTAATTGATATGCTTGGATTCCACAATTTAGATTATAATCTTTTAGAAAAAAGACTGTATCTGACAGCCTCATATTTTCCATAGTGAATGCTAGTTAGTTGAAGTACTTCATGTAACAGGGACGGCCTAAATGTGAAACAGATGGAAGAATATGCTAGGTATTGGTGGTGGTAAATAATAAATGAAGTCCAATTGGTCAGATTATTTTTTCTTCCTCAATTTTGGTTCCAGGCCAAAATTTTAGACATATATATATATATGTTATATATTATATATATATATATTAGAGGTTTTTGCTATAGGGCGCGTGTGCTTGCCAGAGACAGAGAGACAGAAAGAGAGAAATCACACACACACACACACCCGGAGGCTGGCCACGCCGCAATCCCTTCTCCATTCTCCATTCGGGATCTTGGGCACACATGAACACCTACCTGCCTGGCGTTAGTTTAAGCCACCGGGTCCGGACCCGAACCGCGGTCGACTACATTGGAGTCCAGCGACATAGCCATTACGCTAACTGCTGGTCCCAAATCCGCAAATCTTGATTTAGATTATTTGGTAATATGATGGCAGAAGTTGGGAAACGTTTCGAGTCGTATCCCGGACGGTCCCCACCTCTCACTGCCTCAAATTCTGGCACTAACATAGCGCTAAGAAAAAATTCTTAATGCCTTAAATCCTCCACTGGTGAGGGAGGAAGTTTTGGCGAGGAGCGTTGCCGGATGGAGACTTGCGTAGTTTTTAGAGATGCCACTAGGAGCCTAGAGCATGGGCTATCCTCGTTAGTGCGTTCGGTCTCCAGCTCCGGTGAAGACTGGGTGGGAGGGGGCAAGCGCCGGGCTGAGCGGAGCGGCAGGCGGAGATGCGCATCAGGGAGCCGTTCTGGCCCCTGAGCCCCTT